CTGCACCGCCTCATGGAAGGGTCATCTGACTGAGGAGGCCGAGGGCGACACTTACCTCCCCGATGGTAGAGAGCCATCACAACAACTTGAGCATCAACTTGTTTGAGGTCCGCATGGCTTTCTCGGGTCGGCGCTGAGCCCCCCCTCCGAACATCCTGCACCGCTCGGTGGGACGGAACGGTGAGGTAGGCTTAGGTCGGGCATGTCGTCCTACAGGCGGATCTTGGGCGACAAATGAAACATATCCAAACAGTGCTCCGAGTTTCTTAATCAGCGTCGGGGGGGCGTCACCCCCGCCGACAGCCCCACGTCGACCCCCGTCGCGGGCAGCCACCGCGCGCCAAAGGCGCTCCGACCCCCGTCGCGGCGCGACGACGAGGCGAGGTTGACCCCGTCGGAGGGGTACCCCCCCACGCCTATGGTCGCAAAGTCGTCCACAGCCCATTCTTTTCTGACTGGTTCTTAGAGACTCCTCCCTGCAAAGGACGGAGGCCCGACTGGGAGAGCCCAGGGGTGGGGCCCGCGGGAGGCCGAGCTGGATGGCCCCAGGCCCCAGGCAGGGAAGGAGGACACCTTGCCGGCCAGCAAGGCGGGATGCAGTAAGGTCGAAGGATGAGGAGGGGCAAGGGGGAGATGGGGGAGGAGATGGTGGAGGTCCTAGCACGTTGCAGGCGGTCTGCTGATAATGGTTAGACATACGATGGCGGTGGTGATGGTGATGGTGATGGTGATGGTGATGGTGATGGTGATGGTGATGGTGATGATGATGATGATGATGATGATGATGATGATGATGATGATGACGATGACGATGACGATGGTGATGGTGATGATGATGATGAGGATTCTGCTGCTGCTGCTGATGATGACGATGACGATGACGATGACGACGACGATGACGATGACGATGACGATGACAATGACAATGACAATGACAATGACAATGACAATGACAATGACAATGATGATGATGATGATGATGATGATGATGATGATGATGATGATGATGATGATGATGATGATGATGATGATGATAGGGGGTAGTAGTGGCGGTGATGGCGGGTAAGGGGGGTGCTTATCATGATGATGGTGATTGTGATGATGATGCTGGTGATGATTATGATCGCCAGAAAGAATTTCGAGCACCAAGAAAGCACCAAGAAAGCACCAACAACTGGAGGGCTTCACGCGTCGGGCCCTGGGAGGCGATTATTGTTCGACACTTGTTCGATACTTTTCTGGGAGCTCGAAAGGACTTCTGGGACGTGGTCCTTATGTACGATGGGAGCAACATAGATGTAGAGGGCAGAAAATCCACACCGATAAAAACCACCCCGACACGCGAAGCCGTGTAGTAAACGCGCCCGAAGAAAAGGAATCGAAGAGGGCGGGGCTGTTTAGTAGACGCCCAGTGCCGTTTAGTAAACGCACCCAAAGAAGGAATCAAAGAGGGCAGGGCTGTATAGTAGACGCCCAGGGCCGTTTAGTAAACGCACAAGGCAAGGCTGTATAGTAGACGACCGGGGCCGTTTAGTAAACGCCAGTGGTCCAGCCTCGGTGGCTTTTGTCCCCCCTGGATTCTCAGCAAGCGGCGGAACTTCTCAGACTCGCGCCTCCTCTGAGTCTTCTGGAAGGCCTCGAAACTTCTCCCGGAAGGCCGGGGGGACTTCCGAGCCTTCTGAGAAGAAGGCCTTCTCCTTCTCACTCGCCCCTCCTCGCTCGCCGCCGAATCTCAACCGCAAGCTGGGCTCGCTCCCCAGTGGCACGAGGGAGGACGTAAACATAAAAACTCGGAGGTCCGCGCGGATTTCTCGGATCGGCGCTGGACCCCCCTCCCTTGCGCGCGGAGCGCGCCAGGGGCGGCGCTGGAAGCGCCGCCAGGGGGGCCCAGCACCGATCCGAGAAATCCACGCGGACCTCCGAGTTTCTAAGCTTATGTCATTCTTCGTTTCTCCTTATACGCACCCTCGAACCGCTGCCCGGGGTGCGGCGCCGAGGCGGCCCGAGGGTGCGGGGCGGGCGGGGGGGTCCCGGGCGCCAGAGGAGATGCTGCGTGCGCGGCTGCCCAGTGCTCTGGTCGTATACGCCCCTGCATCCAAGGGAGAGAGGGCGAGGTGGCAGCGAGAGGAGCTCGCAAGCGACGGGGGAAGAGGGCCCTCCCCTGGCTGGGTACGCGAATCGGGGGCGCGCAAACATGGATTAGCGATCCATGGATTTGGCGCGCGGTTGCCAAGTTCATGGATCGGGGAGGTGCCCTCCCCAAAATGCGGCCGGTGCCGTCTCGTTCGGCGGCGGAACTCCGCGGTTTCCCATGGAAATGGGACCCATCGCTAATCCACGCCCCCTTGATCCATGTTTGCGATCGCCGGAGCTAAAGGCACCTGCACACCACCAACACGTCTGGCCAAGGCCATGCTGGGCGCTGGCATGGTTTCAATACGCCCCCCCTGGCCGATGTCAAGGGAGCCTATACACCCCCATCCTGGGGCCCCGAATGGCACTGGCCAGGTATGGCGGTGGTACGTAGATAGATGCCGTGTGCGGACTGGGGCATGGATCCCGTGCACCTCAAGGTCGCTCTGCCCTTCCTGCAGAAATAGTGCAGCCCCTCCCGCCCCCAGAACCACCCCGAGCCTGTACCAGAGCGCCCAGGAACGCCGCAGAACGCTCGGGGACAGCTGGGAGAGCCTCGATCGTCGACCGACGACGACGCGGCACATTTTGGCACGATGGGCTGTGTGATGGCACAGAACTCTGTGGGATGCGCGCAGCCTGGGACGGTGTGCTTCACTCTGCTGTCTCTGGACCCTGAGCTTCGAAGGGCCGGGCCCTAAACCTGTGCGGCGTCCAGAAGTGGAGCACTGATCGATACCTACATATAACGCAGCACGACCAGTGCTCAACACATGCGCCTTTGATAATTCAACTACTCTGGCGGGGCAAGGAAAGGGTGTTAAATTCCCGTCTTCTTGGCCGCATTGGCTTCACATAGGGCGTCAAGACGCGTGAGGCAAGTGTACGCCATTGCATGCTAAAGAACTGGTCCGAACGGGCAGCCGGGTCCTACCGTGAATGCGTGGAAGGAACCAACTTGCCTGGAGCCAGACTACAGATATGGTCAGACACGCAGCATAAATAGCTTACAAAGTAATGAAACGGCGTGCCATTCAGTATCATATAATCGTCGCAGAGAAGGGGACGAAAAGGAGAATGAGAACTGAGGATGGTAATTCATGGATGACGCGGAGCACGGAGTAATGAGCAAAGAAAGCGAAGGAGAGGGGGGCAGGAGGGGGAGAGGAAGCTGATGATGACATGCTTTTGCCACCGCCATGTGACATGTGGCGTGCGGTGCGTGACTCGCCATGGTCGATTCGGGACGGCTTGATCGACTCCAGCACGTCTCCTTCCTGCGCGAGGCGACTGGCCCAGAGCCGACCCCCGTAGTTCGGATGGGGCTAAGACGAGGATGCATCCGTTTCAGAGCGTTCCGGAACGCTCTGAGAAGGCCGCGGCGCCCGAGACATCCTCCGGAGCCGCCGGCTCTCAGAGGTGGTAGATTTGCCCTCACCCGATGTTCCTCGCCCTGGCTTCGTCTTGGCAGTGCAGGCCCCTGAGACCGCTTGCGCTCCAGGCAGCGTGGCTCGGGCGGCACCTTGCCGCCAGGAGCGCCTGGAGCGACCCTGGAGGGAGCTCGGAGGGCCGACCGCCGCCCTGCCCAACTTGAGCAGGGACCGACCGTTCCGGCATTCCTATAGTCCTACCACGACATGCTCGTAGAAACTCTAAGAACAAACACAACGTTCTTAGAACATAAGCCCACTGTGCTAAAACAAGGCAACCTCAACCAGAACTGTTCTAAGCACACTTCGCGGGAACCACGAAAGGTTCTCAGAACATTCTTTGGTGGGGCTGTAGGCACGCCAGGACGCTTCGCCACTGCTTGCCCAACAGCCACCACAGCCCCCTGTCGTCGGCGATTGAGGCTGGGCGGCCGTGCCGAAGCCGCCCCGACGCTGCCGAGGGCGCCCCCGCCAGGGCCCGGGCTCCCACCGGGTGCGTTCACGCCGCGCGGCGCGCGTGCCGTGCCCCCTCCTTGGGCCGCTCCCTCGTCTGCCCTTGCCGATCCGCTTTCTCCCCCGCCCAGCGGGCGGAGGAGGCGGAGGAGGCGGAGGCGGAGGCGGAGGCGGAGGCGGAGGCGGAGGAGGAGGAGGAGGAGGAGGAGGAGGAGGAGGCGGAGGAGGAGGAGGAGAGGAGGAGGAGGAGGAGGAGGAGGGAGGAGGGAGGGAGGAGGAAGGAGGGGAGGAGGAGGAGGGAGGAGGAGGAGGAGCCAAATCCGCCCAAGATCGGTCCCTGGACCCCCTGCACGTCGCGGCCGCCGGGCCGCGGTGCTCCCGAGCCCCGCGCGAGGGAGCGCGCGGCCGCAGGCGGAGCGGCACCGCCGTGGTGCCCGGCAGAGGGCCCTTGAGCCGTCTGGGAGGTGCTCCTGCCGCGCGGGCGCCCGCCGTCCGCGCGGGGCCTCCGAGCGGCTCGCCTCCCCTCGCGCCGCCTGCCGAGCGTTTCGCCTCGAGGCCGAGCTGCCCTTCGAGGCCAGCTGGCGGTTCACCGCCCGCCTTGCCGGGGCTCGCCCCGGGGGCCAGGAGAGGCTCGGCCCGCCCGACCTCTTCGCGACCGGCCCCGACGGCGACACAGGCGGGCTCCTGCAGGGGCTTCCCTACCCGCTCCATCTCCGGCGTGTCACAAATTCAAGCCTGCTTGGCCTCTGTTCTGGCGTGGCCCGAGTCTGGTCTCCCGGACGCACGCTGAACTGACTGGACTGGCTTCTCGCTCTCATCCCCAGGACAGCGACTGCTGTAATGGTCCTCCTCTGTCATCTCAGAAGGGGTACTCTTCGGGACCTGCCTCTCGAGGTCGCTGCTTCCGCGCTGCCTGGTGCACCATTGGCCCTCACCCCTCTCGCTTGAGGCTGCGGCTCTGCTTGGCGATCCCTTTCCACTTGGCACCCTTCGGGGAAACTGACGATCTGGTTGCCCGCGGGGTGTCGGGCACAGCCTGCGGCGCGCGCAGGCTATGGCAGACCCACCACCAGAGCCACGATTTGTGGTCGTCCGCGGGTCCGCGGTTGGCGACGGAGAGCCGGCGGCCGTCGGCAGCAGCGGGGGTGGGAGCGGGGGAGGAGAGTGGGTAGGCGTCGCCAGGAGATGTCCCAGGGCCGAACCTGAACGGTGTTCTTCGTGCTCGTTTTGTTTTCGTTTTCCCTCGCGTATGTCTCGAATCCGCCTTTAACGCACAACGAAATCGAAACGAACACGGCCCACGAAATCACCAAAAACACCGTTTAGGTCCAGCCCTGAGATGTCCATATCCACGGCTGCCGGGGTCCTGCCCTGGATCCCCTGGGGGGCGGTGGGTATGGACGCTTCCCTGCCCGCACGGGCAGGCATCAGTCCACATCCGACACTCCCCGAGAGGGTCCTCGAGATGCCAGGGCACGACTCCGACGCCATGGAAATGGATATGGATATATATATATATATATATATATATATATATACACATACATACATACATACATACATACATACATACATACATACATACATACATACATACATACATACATGCATGCATGCATGCGTACGTACGTACGTACGTACGTACATCCATCCATCCATCCATCCATCCATCCATGCATGCATGCATGCATGCATGCATGCATGCATACATACATACATACATACATACATACATACATACATACATACACACATACATATATATACATATATATATATATATATACATATATATAGGTATGTATGGACTCCGGCGGTGGAGCGTACGAAGGGGGGAGGGGGGGAGATGGTTTCTCCATCCAGCCATACACACTGCGCAGCTGGACAGAACCGACACTGCACACGGTCGGAACGGTGATACAGGCAACAAGCCCAGTTCTCCCGATATGCTGCCCTGGTGCTGAGAACGGAGAAATATTCTGGCAGGGCCGATAAGTCTGCGTAGGTGAGAGAGCCACAGTTCTCGAAGAACAAAACAAGCATGAACGTATACTTTCGGAGGTCCGCGTGGGTTTCTTGGATCGGCGCTGGACCCCCCCTGGCACGAGAAGCGCGCCAGGGCCGCTGGAGGCGCCGCCAGGAGGTGCCCCACGTCGACCCAAGACATCCGCGCGGACCTACGACAGCAATCGATTACGGTTGGTTGGTAACCGAGACACTGAGATGAGGACTACAGTCGGTCTTGATTGGACAGGACACGCGCGAGGACACAAGACTTTTCCGAGGGCCACATTGCCATGGGGGATGTAGGAGGCATTGGTCGCGAGGCACAGGACAAAGGGTACCCAAGGGTACCCTTGATTTGGCAGGGTCGACCTACTAATCAGGGCCGACTGTAGTTGGGGGTCGGAAGGGGCTTGCTGCTCATCAGGTCCTTCCATCATGGCTGCTCCTCTGGCGCTCCTCGTGCACCCTGGCGCACTTGAAACCAATCAGGACCTTAGCTCAACATTTTCGCGTTCCTTAGCCGCCACCGTGTCGCTGGGCACGGAGTGGGCGTGTCCTCAAGTCCTCCCACCACCCACCTGAGCCTCAGTCCTCGCTCCCGAAAAGTCTTTCCAGGGGTTCGGAGCCCCTCGGCCCAGATCTCCTGGGGCTTGCCGCGGCTCTCCTGGGCTCTCTCGAGTGCTGTCGCATGAACTTCCCGGGCCCACGAGGGCCCCGAGAAGACGAGCCACGAGGGCCCCAAGAAGCCCCCAAGACGGTCCAAGAGGGCCCCGAGTCGCCGAACGATCGCTCCAAGACGCTCAGGATGGCCCCCAGACGGCCCAGTGTTTTGGAACCCTGCTGGTGTGAAGGCTTTGGTACGACATTCATGTTGTTTTGTGTATTACTTCTTGCATTGCCCTCTGGGACCCGTCTTGGAGCTCTCAAAAGGCCGTCTTGGAATCCTTTTGGGCCGTCTTGGAGCGCTCTTTGGCGCCTCTGAGGCCGTCCTGGAGCGGTATTGGGAGCCTCTTGGGCCGTCTTGGACACTGTGAAGACCAAATCGGCCAATATGCAAAACATGTGAATTTTCAGGAAGGAGTAGGGACGATATTTGCCTCTTTGGGGTCCCCTTGGGGGCCTCCTGCGGCGTCTTGTGGGCCTCTTGGGCCGTCTTGAAGCCATGTTGGACCCTCTTTGAGCGCTCATTGGCCGTCTTCGGACCCTCTTGGACCTCTCCGACTCCGTCTTGGAAATAGCTTGGGCGCATTTGGGGCTGTCTTGGGCCGTCTTGGTGGCCTCTGAGGCGCTCTTGGAGCTGACTTGGGCCGTCGTGGGTCTTGGGCCGAAAATGGCAGAAAATTGGGCCATTAGACCTGCTTGGCACGGGGACGGAAAGCGCACTTACTTTCAGAGCGCACGAGATCGCTGGCTCGTCCGCTCTTACACCTCATATTGACTCCCTTCCCCTCGCTCTTGTCCTATCTCAGCCTCGGAGAGTCGCGGAGCTTTCTTTGAGCGCGTTTCTTGTTTTGGAGGGGGCGGTCGGGTCGCGTTGCGATTTCCGCGTTTGGGCTGCCAGCTTTCCAGAAACCCGCGTTGTCCTTGCGTGGACCGCTCGTTGTCCACGCGTTGCCGCCCGTCCCTGTGCCCTGGCTGCAAGAACTTATTACACCGCAGCTCTCTGTTGGGAGCTTTGGTCTTATCAGCTCGACTACGTCACCGCTCGCTCTTGAGAGCCGCGGTGCTCAGAGCCTTTGGGAGTATGTTGGGCCTCTTGGGGGGCTCTTGGGGAGCCTCTTGGGTGCCTCTTGGGGACCTTTTGGGGCTTCTCGGGTGCCTCTGGGGGCCTGCTGGGAGCTTCTGGGCTGCGGGGGGGAAGGGACCAAGCTGCCGTTGGCCGTCTTCGGGCTCTCTTGGGGGCCTTGTGGGGCCGTCTTGGGGCCGTCATGGGGCCGTCTTGGCGCCCTGTTGGGCTATTTTGGGGCCTTCTCGGGGGCCTCTTGGGCCTTCTTGGGGCGCTCTTGGGGGCCTCTTGGACAGTCTTGGACGCCTCTTGGCCCGTCTTGGCGCCCTCTTGGGCTATTTTGGGGGCCTCTCGGCAACATCTCGGGCCGTCTTGGGGCGGTCTTGGGGGCCTCTTGGACCGTCTTCAACGCTATGAAAGGCGAAAAGCCGTATATGCTAAACATGCACGTTTTCCGTAAGAACATATATGATTTAGGCCTCTTGGGGCCCTCTTGGGACGCCTCGTGGGCGCTTCCTGGGGCGTCGTGGAGGCCTCTTGGGACGTCTTGGGGCCGTCTCGGGCGGGCTGGGCTCTCTTGGAGCGCCTTTGGGGGCCTTTTGGGTGCCTAGGCGCCGTTTTGGGGCCTTCTTGGGGGCCTCTTGGGCCTTCTTGGGGCGCTCTTGGGGGCCTCTTGGGCAGTCTTGGACGCCTCTTGGCCCGTCTTGGCGCCCTCTTGGGCTATTTTGGGGGCCTCTTGGGAACATCTTGGGCCGTCTTGAAGCGGTCTTGGGGGCCTCTTGGACCGTCTTCAACGCTATAAGAGGCGAAAAGCCGTATATGCTAAAAATGCACGTTTTC